AGGAAATGATAAAAGTGTAGCTCACTTTCTTTTTGTTTACACACAAACATATCCTATATAGAGCCAAGTTTGTCTGCAGCTCTTTTCTGCATTTATGTTTTAATCTCTACCTCTCTATCATCATCTCTGTGTTTGTCCTTGTCTCTTGATGTTCTCCGCAAGTTTCTCATCCAGTCTCCTTGGCCAGGTTGCTATGGCAACCAGAGGGACCCAAAACTATGTCCAGGAGATTCCCTGATGAGCTGTTTGATGTCTACTGCTTTGGTAAGTTTCTTCAGGGCTTGTACCATATATTTGGATTTAGTCATGGATAATTTCACAGAGCTGAGGGTGTGCAGCACTGTAACCCTGCGATCAGGCTTTGAATCTGTTAGCAGAGAAAGGAAAAAGACATAGGTGAGACAGCATAAAGGACTTTTGGGATTGAGAGGGAGAAATATACAATAAATTGAGTCCTGCTGGGGAAGGGGGATTCAGTCACAGTATTGTACAATTTAAACAGAATATTGCGCAGTGTAGCTTAGAAACAATATAACAATGTAAAAGTTAATAAAACATTGTTTCCAATGCTATATTCCAGTTATCTCGGAAGTCAGATGTTGGAGCTGGAAATGACGCTACACCTAAGTTGATGGTGTTCCAGTAAACAAGTTGGAAAACCAAGATGGACGCCTACTGTTAGCCGTTGTTAGCTGTTGTTAATGGTTGTCAGCTGTTGTTAGTTGTTGTTAGCTAGTTGTAAACAACACATAACACAGTATTTTATTCTTACAAACACCATAGCACCATGTTCACAGATCGTTTACAGATTGGGAAGTACAACATATACCACTTATTTAATTTCACAAAAACAAAACAGTCGTGCACATAAATAATACATTACGAAAGCTTTCACTGTTACTCTTGACTGTTGATGCCATCTTGGATTATGACATCATCGAAATCCGACTTTAGGGGTGCACTCCAGATGAATTCCCAAGTCGGAGCTCAGATATCCTTACTTCTGTGTACAAATGAAATGCAGCATTAGCTAACTGTGCAGTATTCTGTTTCACTGTGCAATACTCTGTTAAACTGTTTAATCATCTTTGCAAAATCCTACACTACAAATGAATTTGTTTACACTCTTATGTTTGTACATATCTTATCTAAAAAAAAACCAAAAAACAATTCATTCTAATTTGACAATGCTACTAGGCTTAAGTGTTAAACGCTGATTTCACAGATGTTTCAAATGTCTGAACAATTAACCTCAGTACAGACTTTCATGATGTATCTACTACAGTGCCAAACAAACATATATTATCAAAGAATACTTGCTGTGATTGTTTAGATTTAAGCAAAACCATGTTATTTTACTCCAAAGATCGGTTTTGAAAAAGTATCAAATACAACTAATATACCATTCACACTTTCTTGGCTCAGCGACAGGGAGCAATTTGGTTCAATCAAGTCAGTATTGATTAAACATTGCAGATATACTTTCCCCTGAACTCTATATTAATCAGTTATCCAAAAGCTTTTCTTCTGCTGATGAAAAGTGAAAACAAGACATAGGCCTACTTAACATGCAAAATTCAGAGAAATTTTAGCACTTTTTGACAACAGCAAGAGTATATCAGAATTAACTCTCATTGGGACACACAAACCCCTCCACCAGGGTAAGGTGGTAGCTCGAGGAGGGGAACAAAAACCCTCCCATGGGAGGGAAAACCACAAGGTTTATTTTTATTTTTTTTGTACAAAACACCGGGTTATGGGTGGTTTTGTTCTTTGTTTTTTTAATTTTCTTTCCAGTAGTTTTTTTTTTTTTCAGAATTTTTTTTAACTTTATTTTTTGTGTGTTTTTTTCTTTCAGTTTTCTGACTGTTTTTTTATTTATTATTATCAGTCAGGCATAAAAAAGGAAAAAAAAATTGAGGAAAAAAAACTTAAAAAAAAAAAAAGCCCTCAAAAAGTTTTTCTCCAAAAAAAAAAACTGTAAGAGTAAACTAAAGAAAAAAAAAAAACCTCAAATAAAAAAAACCCTAACACTGTTTTTTTTTTGCACAAAAAAGGAAAACCTTATGGTAGCTCATCCAGACAGAGGTGCCAAGAAAAAAACTAGGAAAAAAAAAAAAAAAACTACAGAAAACTTTAAAAAAACTAAAAAAAACAGAGAGAAAGAAAAGTATTTCTGAAAAAAAAAAAAAAATTGTGGTTTTTCCCTCGAGCTACCACCTTACCGTGGTGGAGGCGTTTTTTTTCCTTTTTTTTTTTTTTCCTGGCACCTCTGTCTGGATGAGCTACTCTTAGTCTGGTCCCTCACCCAGGATCTGTTTGCCTTGGAGGCATAAAGCCCCCAACAACATAGCTCCTGGGATCATTGGGACACACAAACCCCTCCACCACGGTAAGGTGGTAGCTCGAGGAGGGGAATAAAAACCCTCCCATGGGAGGGAAAACCACAAGGTGTTTTTTTTTTGTGCAAAACACCTGGTTATGGGTGGGTTTTTTTTAAATTTTCTTTCCAGTTTTTCTTTTTTTTTTCAGAAATAATTTTTCTTTTTTTTTTAATTCATTTTACTGTTTTTTTTCAGTTTTCTTCCTGTTTTTCATTATTATTTGCACAAAACATCCGGTTAAGGGTGATTTTGCTTTTTTTTTTTTAAATTTCTTTCTTTCACTTTTTTTAAAAATAATATTATTATTATTATTATTTGTGCGAAACATCCTGTTTAGAGAGTTTTTTTTTCTTCAATTTTTCTTTTCCTATTTTTTTTCCCTGGCACCTTTGTCTGGATGAGCTACTCTTAGTCTGGTCCCTCCCCCAGGATCTGTTTGCCTTGGGTGTCCCTTCGGAGGCATAAAGCCCCCAACAACATAGCTCCTGGGATCATTGGGACACACAAACGCCTCCACCACGGTAAGGTGGTAGCTCGAGGAGGGGAATAAAAACCCTCCCATGGGAGGGAAAACCACAAGGTTTTTTTTTTTTTTTTTTTTTTTTATTTTAGAAAAAATATATAAATATATAATAAAAAATATATAATATAATAAAAAATATATAATCTAATATAATAATATATAAATAAAATATTTTTTTTTTAAATGTTTTTTTCTTCTCTTAAAAATTTTTTTTAGAAAAACTTTTTTTTTCTTCATTTTTTTTATTCTAAGTTTTTTTTTTCATTTCATGAGTTAAATAAGAAAACTTAGTATTACACACCAGCTGCTAAACTGAACTAATATACCATTTACACTTTCTTGGCTCAGCCACAGGGAGCAATTTGTGGTTCAGTGTCTTTCTCAAGAACAGTTCAGCATGTAGACTGAATAACCTGACATAGCCAGCAACCTTCAGGGGAAAAAAAAAGTTTAGTTGTGCCCTTTATACTTGGTTGGGGCTCATTTACCCCAAATTACCGTATCAATGTGGCATGGCAAGGACAACGCACAGCCTGGGGCATTGCTGGGGTGTTATTGAAGCCCAGGTTGCTTTAATGGTGGCTGAGAGTTGACCTTTTGGGAGGGTTGGGGATGGGAGGGTGGGGTTCATCTACCTCTTGACAATGCTTCATGTCAGGCAAGTTGTCTGGCCAAATCAAGTGCAGTAATATCATGGTCAGTCAATCATATTGTACCAGCTTTCGCACTGAAGGCGGGTGTCTCGTCCTGCTATAATAAAACAGCAAACCTTGTCAAGTGATCTCCTGGTAGGCAGCTAGGTTCACTTTGGACTCAATAAAGCACAGTAGACCAACACCTGCGAATGACATGGCACCCCAAACCATTACAGACTGTTCATATTTTACACCGACCTTCAAATACCTTAGATTTTGTCTCTCCACTCTTTCTCCAGACTCAAGAACTTTAATTTTCAAATGAAATGCATAATTTAGACTTATGTGCCTTATGTGGCTTATGTAAAACCAAACAAAACTCAGAGCAAGGACTTATGTGACTTGCTCTGAACAAATACCTGCTTACTCAAGAATCTGAGCTCTTTCTTTCTCTTTTTAGGAGAAGTCTTCCACTCTGCAGTTCAGGAGAAGTTGAGCCATGGCTACAGCCTCCACACATGACCATCCCCTGAGAGCCCAGCTGGCCACAGCTTTATCTGGCTCTGTCTGAAGACTGTCTAAAACCACCCAAATTGTACTGATCTCCATGACACAACAGCCCTGATACCTACTGCTTCACAAGAACAGGTAAACTGGATGAACAATCATTATGGTAATTACCATGGCAACAATAGAGGTGTCTGGAAATTTTCTTTCCACCTTAATTATTAATTAGCATGACTTGTTTGTGTCACACACAGAGTTTTTACAGAGAGACAGCATGACATTTATGTCTCCTAGGTGAATTAAAAGGCTTGTATTTTGCAGAACGTGAGAGATGAGGAAGGGAAAGGGAATAAGAGAAAGGAAAGAAGCAAGCGATCGAGAAAGTGAGAGAGAGTGTATCTAGAGCTCATTCTTGTTATATGACTTCTCGTGGCAAATAACGCAATGGTTTTTGACAGTTTTTGTTCTATTGAATTATTGCCTCAAAGAAAAACATGGATTTTAGTTTCATCTTCTATCTGTCTGCTTTCAAATTCTTCATATGTAATACAGTATACTTAAAGTATAGTTTAAGCCTGGTTCAGTATTATTAAAACTTTTAAATCAGCAGCATGAGAGCAAAGCAGCAAAACATTTGTCAAGACACCAGGCTGATCGATGAAGCTCTGCATTATAAGAAATATAAAGACCTGTGATTAAAAAAATGTTACTCAGTTTAATATGTTTCTAAATGATGTTTATTATCAAGCAATAGCACGTTTTATTTTATTAAAGGGGGAGGTGAAGTGAAGCCTCACTGCTGGGTTGAGTATCAGCAGAAAAATGCACGTCAGATGAAAAATAGCTCTAGTCCCTGTAGTGAAATGATTGCATTGCCCACCAACCAGCAGGGGTCCAGGCTGCAGAATCACAGACCTTGAACCACGATGCAAACCCAGCAGCAGAGGCTGTCCTCTCAATCTCTGAAATCCAGCGCAGAGCCCAGTTATCCAAGCCCTCTACTGAGTCTAGTCTTGGTGACCTGGATAATGCTGAAGTCAGTTCTGTGGCTGGAAGAAGCAACTCCCCCGAGGTCTCTGAAAAACATGTAGTCATCCACCTACAGCCAGAGTTGGGCTGGAATGAAAAACAGCAAAGACTCAAAAGCAACCAGTCCAACCAGGAGGAATCTGAAGGCCCACAGAGTGACAACAACTTGAGAGAGACAAAGAGCCCTGGAGGGTCTGCACATCAACAAGAAGAGACATCCAGCAGAAACCAGAGTGAACCAAACCCTAGTGGGAACAGGGGCACCATGGATAATGCCATCATGGAGCACAGCACATGGAGCTACAGAGTCCAGAGGACGGTCTGTCTGAGCAGGTGAAAGAGCTGATGCCACTGATCCCCTTAGTGCCTGCAGTCTGAATCACAGGGCAAAGTGACTCCACCACTCAGCCAGGAGAACCAGCCGCCAGCAGCTCTGACAACCCTCCACCCACTGTAAACGGTATGAACTCAACATTCACTGTCACCGAGGGGGGAATGCAAAAATAAACTAGATTTACATGATAAAGTTGTGTATCAAACAGAGGTGTATGTACAACTAATGTCATATTTTGTGAAGAGCCCTTGAGTCTCTTTTCTACTCTCTCTTATTTCCCTCCTTATGTCAACAACAATTTCTTTCTCATCAGGGCAACTTGAAGTGTCAGTGTAGATTTAATTAAACAGTAATTGCAAACAAACACAAGAGTCAAACCACAAATATAACGCATAGAGAAAGAGTGGAGACTGTTCTGTAGTCGCTCTCATATTTATTGACTGTACTGTGTTTGCACAAGGGGTTATCAGAGAGAGTAGGAGCTAAGCTTGGCTATTAATTTACTTTGATTATATTAAATATTTACTCACATGTGTTATTTGTTTGGTAAAATGCAGGATTGCATTACATCTGACAACATGTACAAGAGTCAGGGTAAGTGATGGTCAAAGCAAAATTAATAAATTAGCATATATTAAGTAGATGATACTGAACCAGACAGGGTATAAGAAGTCTATGTTCAAACACAATGGCCCTCATTTATCAATCTTGCGTAGAACCGAGCGCAGGATTCATCATAGGATAGGACACACGTGAGATTTATGAAAGGGTTTGTATCTGACCATTCCCAGCTTACGTATGTTCGGGTCTTGATAAATGCGGCGGCTGAAATCGATCGTCATTAACATGACACGCCTTTAAATGTTAGAGTTTCAGAAGCCTCGCCCACTAAGGTCAAACATGAAAGAGGAGAAATATTAGAAAGATTAGAAACTTTTCCAAGCTGTAAGTGAATATCCTCACATCTGTGGTGGAAACTAACAAGGATTTGCTCTTTGAAACCATCAAAACTGGTATAAAAGCAGTCCAGAAAACTCCTGTCTGGAGCAGGATTATGGTGGCGCTGAACAGCGCTGCCGCGGAATAGTGGACACTGGCTGAAGTTCAAAAAAATTATTAGTCAATAAGTTGCTCATGATGATAAATGAATATCTCATACATGCCTCATATTTTTTATTGCCATGACATAGGGTACGTTTCTCCTATTATTGAAAGTATCTAGTTTAAGTTTGTTGCGTTTTTGTAATGTAGAGCAGACTGGAGAGTCTGACAGAGGCTGAACAAAAATAATAACATCACTAAACGGTGTGTTGCTGCCCCTGAGGCACATTTTTATGGTTTTCTATTTGATTTTTATCACTGATTAAACAGCAAGAGCACTTGCTAAACTTATATTTTATATGTCAGAATCCATCAATAAGGTCCTGTCTCCTCTGTACAGCACCTTTTTGGAATCTCTCCTCGTTATTGTTCTCCAGGCATCGGGTCCTCACGTTGCACCGGCACAGCCAACAGCACTCCATTCGCCAGAGCAACACTGTGCAAAACTGTACTGGCCCAAATGATGTCCCACACCCTTTCAGGAGTGTAAAACAACGTCCCTGCTGCTGGGCCAAGACAAAGCTACCTGCCTTTTAGGAGTCAAATGCAGCGCAACACAGTGGCGCGTGTGCGCAATGTTAAAACGGCACTTTGTCTCTGTGGCAGTGTTTCTGGGGAGAGTTATCAAATAGGCCTATTCACTAAGAACATAACAAATTTATTTTATCTTATTTTATTTACGTCCTAATCTTTAATGAAATCTGGCTGATTGTGCTAAATGACAAGTTTGAGGTTTGTTTATTAATTATTTTGAGACAGACATTTGCTGCACCGCAAATCCACACTGACTCAAACTTGCGTACAGAATGTCAGACCTGTCGTGAGATTTGGTGGTAGCGTACGCTCACGTGCAGATTGATAAATGCCGATCCTAACATCCCAACTTACGTACGCAAGGTGTGCGTAAGTTTTCTGCCGTACGCAAGCTTGATAAATGAGGGCCAATGAGAGAGGGAGGAGTGTTGAAAGGCCAGACTACTGCAGTGCTGCATAAATAGTGTGCCGAAGAACCTGGAGGTCCTGTCAGACAGGTAACATCCACAGCAGAGTGAATTACCATCAGGAACACCACACTACACTGCAATACACCACGGAGAAGATAAGGTCAACATTCACCCTTTTCAGCTTGTGGCATCTTAAAGGTAACGTGACACCAAACTTAAAAATCCCATTCTGTGCTTTAAAACCTGAAGGAGACTGAAAGGCTGTTTTCGCCAAAAAGCTAGAAGAAAAATGCACCATCTTTAGAGGCAAAGCTACTGATAGATAAACTTATCAGCTGTGAAAAGCTGAAAAAAAATAGAAGCTGAAAATGCTCAAGAAGGAAAGATAAAAAAGAAGACTATCTCTCCCACAGCCAGCCAGAGGAATGACTCAATAAAGGTGAGAGACTTTGCCAACTTTATCAAGACAAACACTCACTACTGATACCAACCTGCAAGGTAAAAATTAGAATCCAAGCTAGAGTCTGCATGCATTATTCATAGCTATAACCAATTAATGTGGAGGTTGGGTTGCTCTGCCATTCGTTCTCACCTCCATCCATGTCTCTCTCAATTAAGCCACAGCTCTCTGAAGGTATCAGATAATGATCACTACAGTGTGGACGAGCAGCTATAGGAAGAGAGGAGTTGAGCAAAACAGAGAGGGGGGGGAAAGAAAAGGTGAGGAAGGAGGTTGAATAATTGTTTCTCTTATTTTATCATGATAAAAAGCAAGCAGCTGAAGTGTTTGAAAACTACAATCAGTGAATGTAGATTAAATCTGTTGTTGCAAACCTTGTGCTACACTTGGATCTTAACACTTGTTATTTACTGAAGGAGCTGTGTTGTTTATTGAAATGGAGAGGATGCAAAAAAGCTTTGTGCTACAGACTGAATATTAAAGAAAAACTTAATTAAGCTTTTGGAAATTTTAGGGATATAGAAACACAAAGTGCCAAATATCTCATTACCTGGATAGTCATAAGAAAGCTCAAACCAGATTTATGTGTTTGGTTATTCTTAATTTCAGCAAACTATTACAAAGTATGTGCTATAAGGATTATTAATAGAGCAATTAGGCTGGTGTACATGGCTATTATGGAAATGAAGCTCAGAATCATATAGCTCACTTTAGGGAAATGGGAGACCTTCTAAATAATTTACATACATTCATGTTTTATTCATAGACTTCTTCATATATATTCTCCCTCAGTGGGTAATTTGCTTAGCCTAGCGTAGTCTTGCTGTATCACTGTACATCTCAGACATATTAACAGAGCTGAGATCAGCCAAAAAAAGCTGAGCAGTGATGATGAAACACTAGCTGGGCTGCTCAGTAACATCCTTGTACTGCTGCCATAAAAGCGCACACTGGCTGTAAGTCACACATGCAGACAGGATGAATAATTGAAGCTGTAGACAGAGTTTGGTTTAGAGCAGTAAGCTGATAAGAAAGTGGACCTCTTCATCAAATAAACAGGTCGAAGATTGGAGCTTGTTGTGGAGCAGGTAATTTGCTTCTTGTAGGCTAAGTGCTGCTGTGTTTTTCCACATGGCTTCTCTAAGCGCAGGAGAGTTTTTCTGAAGGAGGCTGTTTGAGGTGAAAGAAATCAAGTGTGTCAAATAATTTAATACATCTATTCATCCTCTGCGCATACTAGTACACATACATTTATGGTCTTTCTGTACCGAATTTAGAAACTTGAATAGCTGTATCATCAGCTCCACTGCTAAGAAAAACAGGTTCAAAACTTTCATTCCATGTATTTTTTTCTTTTCTTTTATTATTATCATTTATTTATTTATTTATTACTTTATTTATTTATTTATTTATTTTGGGGGGGGGGGTCCTCAGGAGACAGATCCATAATGTCTAGCGTTCTAAAAGAGAACCTCCACTCTGCTTCTTCAGGAAGAGAGAGGAGAGTGCTTCAAACTCAGGTTTCACACCTCTTTTTAGGGAGCACAACAAAGAAGGGAGAAGAAACGATGTGGCGTCCTCTTTACCTGAAATCCTAATGGAAGTGCTGACAACCTCTGATGTGACCACAGTTCAGCTTCTGACAACAACAGACTCACAGATATCACTGCAGCAACACCCACAGATAATCCCTCTGACAGGAATTACAGGAAAATAAATCTACAGTGATGCCAGAGAAGAAAAGCATTTTAAAAAATTGGACAGGAGTTTTCCTTAAGTCTTTCTCTTTAATATTTCTAGTGAATTGACTTCACTGTCCTTATCAACATTATGATGATGAAAGGCAGTTATCTAATCAATACCTATTCATCTAATCAATCTTTTAGCCCAGTGAGAGTCAGACACATTCATCACTTCAGCACTTAAATACAGCACACAGCAACAGCAGCATGTTAAGATAGCTCCAGTCTCTGTAAATAGAAACCTCTGACTGTGTCTGTCTTTTTTTTTATTCTACCTTACTTCTGCTGTTGCTCCCTCTCTGACATAAATCATGCATTCATAACACAGACTTGCTCTCTTGTTGCCTTCACATCCTCTTCCTTCCCTCCTCCTGCCTCTCATGTTGGTGTGACAAACAGCTGCAGACAGTTGTTCAGTGTGCTGAGGTGAGATCAGCCAGGTCTTATTGAAGTAATTAAAAGGTCAGGTTGAGGGCAGCTAGGTAAAGAGATTCAACAAATCAATGCAGACACCGTACAAGATTGGACTTGTAATTGGCTGCAGTGTGCTTTCTCTCATTTCCATCATTGCTCACTTGACTCTTTTTCTGTCATTAGATTCATC